CCTTGGTCTGTTCAGTCAAATTCTGGGTGACCCGAAATGGGTTCTGACTAATTTGTTCTAGGATGCTGACATGAGTCTCCTTTGCTGCAAGCTGGAACCTGCTTGTTAGAACCTGTGTAGGGTCCCGGGCCCAAACTGACACCCTTCCGCTCCCTCGCTCGCTCTAACTTTCTCACGTACATGTATCTCTATCTCGATTCAATTGCCTGGGCTTTGGGTTGGTCAATCCCAATACATAATCCCTCGTGGGAAGGCAACAAAGGGGCCAAATCCTGCGTAACGCTGGGATTTAAAACTTGCGGTTTACGATTGAACAGCCCAGAAATTGCTCAAGCATGACCAAGAATGCATCAGCCAAGGGACTTGCGGTTACTTCGCTTCCATGCGCCTCGCCATTCACCCCATCGCCATTCACATCCTCGACCTCCACGCCCCACCTCGGTGAGTCGGATTCGACATGTGAGTGTGCTGCCTCCGAAAGGGAAGCCCTTGGTCGGTTGACAGGGAAACCAGGGGAAGCCATCCATCTGAGGGCTTCAAAAAAAAGACCGGCGCAAGAAGGAGTTGGGCTTTCCCGGTGACTTCCCACACTATAACAGGGGTTCCGATGCAAAGAAGCCCCCCCCCACGCCACGCCGGCCACGCCGGGGTGCTGGTCTTGGGCGTTCTGCCAATTATTGGCGTCCAGCTCCCGCGCTAAGGGCCACTGTCGAAAAATGAGCCTCGGCTTGGCCCCGAAGCAGCTCCTGGTGGCTTGGGGCCCGGTGAAGGGTTGGCCCATTTGCCGATTTACCGGGGTTCAATCCCCAAACCATCCAAATCACCAAGTATGGATTGCCTGATCACCTGGCTGTAAAATCGCAGCTCCGGAAAAAAGCAAAAGAACCTTCCGGAACTGAACTCTGCTCCACCCCATGCAGAGATCCCATAGCTTTCAGCTGGGAAAACAAAATGGGAATCGAGTCCAGACCATGGCGCTCGGAGATCTCGCGGTCAATGAAGGTGGTGAAGCTCTCCAGCTGCGACTCAAGCTGTTGCTTGAGTTCCTCTTTTAGCCCCGTGTGCAGCTGCCTCCGAAGCCATCGAAGCGATCGCGGAAAAAACGTGGGGGTGGTGCGGTTGTTTCTGGCCAAAAAAATCGGCCTGACCGCGAAAACTGGCGCGGTGTACTCCGTTCCAGCGTCTTGCTGCTCGGAGATTGGCATCATGGCCTTGGGAAATGCACTGTCAAAGTGGTCATCTGGAAGGACATGGACAAATGAGTCACAATCAAAACCCGGTATTTACATGGTTGACCATGTAAGGAAATCCAAAGGCGGCCGCAACTATTTCTGGCTGGGATTGTCCCTTGCTAACCTTCATCTACCCGGGTTTTGATTTGTGGCTCAATGGTGGCTAGCAAAGGAAGCGTTTCGGCAACGACTCGACTGCCCCACCTTGAAGTCCTTGCAAAAAGCGGACATGTTGCTCTTCTTCGCCGGCAAACTGCAAGCGCGAAGCAAAAAAAAAGAGAAGGCGCCGGCAAGCGATGCCTGCAAGACCTGATTTCAATACTGATTTCAGAGACACGCAAAGCCATGGGCGGGGGTTTCCCCTAAAGGTCCTTCATGGCCCCAATAGTCACGAGCAATGGCTCCCCTTGCGGATGGGTCTGAATCAAGAGGAACATCCTTTGGCCTGGTGTGTGAGCTGGCTGAGCTGTCACGTGTCAGCTTTCTGATGAGGTAGGTCTTCGCGTCCAGGAGCGATGGCTTCCGTGTCTGCGAATCGCAAGGTCTTGCAAAGTGTGGGCCACTTCGGGCAGAAGATACATGGGCTTGTCTCAAAATCGGGGAATCTGTTTTCCAACATTGCGCTTGTCCTGACCACAGAAGGAACCCATAAAAAGACACACCAGCATACACAAGGTGCTCTGCGAAGGAGAACCTGCAGTGATTGCTTTGACCCATATTGCGACCTTTTGCAAATCAACAAAAGGTCGCTCTGCCACTGAGTCATACGATCACTGCTACAGGCAACCATATGTCGCTGATGTGCTTGTGTGCTCTCGCAAACTGTGTTTTTTGCTTCAACGTGCTTGATGAAGCAAACCAGCGAATGTGCAGGCAGAGTGCACACGAAGATGCCATTAGCAATGATATGCAAGAAAATCCATCTTGAAAAGAAGCCCACGGACCAATGCGCCAACCGTTTCGAGCTTTTCACAGGGGTAGGTCAAAACAGTGTTTCACCCTGAATTTGCTTCTTTGTCCTTCTTCAACTTGAAGCATTGGGGGTGTGCCTTTAAAAGGTTGGACGCCCAAAAAAAAAGAAACCTCTAAAACCAAAAAATCAACTTTAACCCCACCCCCCCACCCCCAAAAAAAAAAACGGGTTTCATTGGTTTCCCTTGAAAAAAAACACACAAAAAAAAAAGAAACCCAAGGCCAAGGCATCCTCAAATTGTCAAAGACGTTAGATCCCTCCGCCTCGCCCTTCACCGAGTTGATGATGTTCTCCTGGGCATCGTTCAAATGGTCCCGGACCCGCAGCCAGATGTCCTGCACCTGGCGCACGGGCAAAAAAAACATCTGGGTGTGCCTCAAAATCAATCCAAACCGGAGGTGTCTTTTCCATAGGAAATTGTTCACCGCTCCGGCCAGTCAAAGATGGCAGCGCCATTGATTCTTGGCGCCAAACTGGAAAGAAAGGGCCGCGATCTTACTAGAACCCCCGCCAAACCAGGTGGAACCAATGACCCGTCTATGAGCAACACTCAAACGGCAACGCACCTGAAGCTTCACCAGCATCATCTGCCGCTTCAGATCGTTGGTCTCGGACTTGTTGATACAACTAATCAGCTCCTCGAATCCGCTCAGCTCGAGCGGATTCGACAACAGTTGTGGTTCCTGGTTCCCCAAGGCATGGGACAATTGAGTCCTATCCCCCAGACTCTCAGGCCCTAAACCACAAAGGTTCTTAAGAAAAAAGAACCACCTCACAGCTGGTGGACATGGCACATTGCTTTTCACAGCCAGTCCTCATAGGTGAGGTCCCCGGATCTATCCACGTCCATCAGGTCAAAGAGACAAATGAGGTCTGTCTCATCAATCTCCAGCAGGAACAACGTCTTTCTGAACTCCTGGCAACAAAAAGAACAAAACAAAAAACTGGGGTATTGCCATGGGTCCAAATCCCGTACCCGCAGTCAACATGCCAATCCCCACTGAAATAGGCTAAAATGGGTGGTGCACCTACCCCAAAATGATACCATTAGTGTTGACCCACAGTCATATGTCTCAAAATGGGAATTGGAACCAACAAACACCTGGGGTATGGTCTCAACATGGCTTTTCAGAAGCCTCCCAATCATGGGGCTTGTTGGTCTTTGTGAAGAAGAGTAGAGCAGAAAAAAGACACCAAATGTCTGAGGTCGCTTCAAGCGAAAGCTGAGACCCTATTCTATGCGGGTGACTGTTTTGGAGGGGACCCCCGAGAATAGTGGCTTTCCTTTCGTTTCCCTTCAAACACCACCAAAACTGTGGTCCCCCCTCAAAAAAAATAACACGCATGTCTTCCTGATTTCCTGCGAGAAGGAAAAACAACTGCTCCCCTGAAAGACCCGGCTACCCATGTCCAGGCCTCGTTTGTGGCATAGGCATCCATGAGCTCGTCCAGCGTCAGCACACCTCAAAGCATTCCGTTTTGAAGAAAACTTTTGAGGAGCAAAGCGGATTTCGGTCATCTTGTTTGGTTTCCCTCTCAAGACCAGGAAAACGGGGTGTTTCTCAGCACAGGAACCGGTCCCTTTGGGGACGGGAACCTTTTTGGGATGGGTTTAAAAAGGAAACCGAAAAGGAAAATATCCTGAAGGATTGAGTTTTGAAGCCCCTAAGAGCTTCATGACCATCCCTACCAACCCCAAGCAAAAAGGTGGTTGACCATGGCACACTCGCACGTCGAGCAAGGCCCCGCAAAAAGCTCGGCACAACTCCACTCTGTCTTCAAAAAACATGAGCCCTCCATGGTGGGTGCTCCTTTTGGTTTCGCTTCACCCTCGCAAGAACGAATTTCAGGTGCAGCTTTGCATCCCGATTTCGGCCCAGACTCCGTCCCGGTCCACATCGATGGCTTGGCACATCTCGCGGAGGCGATTTTCCGCCTCCCGGCGCTTCTTGAACCTCAAGGAAGCTGCAAAAGCGCGGGGAAAAAACACATTTGGTTCTACCTGCCAACGTGTGTGTGGGTGTGTGCGCGTTCGCGTGCGCGTGCGGGTGCGCGTGCGCGTGTGCGTGTGTGTGCGTGTGTGCGTGTGTGTGCGTGTGCCCGTGCGTGCGTGTGTGCGCGTGTGTCACGTGCGCGCGCGCGCGCGCACGTGCGTGCGTGCGTGCGTGCGTGCGTGCGTGCGTGCGTGCGTGCGTGCGTGCGTGCGTGGGTGGGTGGGTGGGTGGGTGGGTGGGTGGGTGGGTGGGTGGATGGGTAGGTGGGTTTGTTGGTGTTGGTGTTGGTGCTGGTGTTGTTGGTGTTGGTGTTGGTGTTGGTGTTGGTGTTGGTGTTGGTGTTGGTGCGTTTGCTGTTGCCTCTTCGTTTACATATGTGTTTGTGTTTGTATTTAGGCGAGTGTTTGTGTTTGTGTTTGTGTTTGTGTTTGTGGCTGTGGCTGTGGCTGTGTTTGTGTGTGTGTGTGTGTTGTGCTTGTGCGTGCGTTTTTGCCTGTACTTTCGTTTGCACTTGCGGTTGCGTTGTGCTTGTGGCTGTGGCTGTGGCTGTGCTTGTGCAAGTGCTTGTGTTTGTGTTTGTGTTTGTCCTTGTGCTTGTCATTGGCGTTTGCGATTGTATTTATGTTTGTATTTATGCTTGTTCGTGTGTATGTGTTTGTTGCTGCGCTTGTGCTTGTGCTTGTGCGTGGTGCTTGTGATTGTGCTTGTGTTCGTGTTTGCGTTGTGTTTGTGGATGTTGCTGTGTTGGTGCTGGTACTTGTGATTGTGCTTGTGTCTGTCTTTTTGTGTTTGCGTTTTCTATCTTGTTTCCGTTTGTGTTTGTATTTATGCTTGTTCTTGTGTATGTGTTTGTGGCTGTGGCTGTGCTTGTGCTTTGCGTTTGTGGTTGTATTTGTGTTTGTGTCTTTGTGTTTGCGTTTGTGCTTTTGCGGTTGCGTTTGTGTTGCGCTTGTGTTTGTGGCTGTGGCTGTGGCTGTGCAGTGCTTGTGCTTGCGTTTGTGTTGGCGCTTGTGTTTGTGGCTGTTGCTGTGGCTGTGCCTGTGCTTGTGTTTGTGTTTGTGGCCGAGTTTGTGTTCGCGTTTGTTGCTGTGTGCTTGCGTTGGTGTTTTTGTTTGTGTTTTCAGGAAAACCAGCGTTTGGGGTGGTTCAAAGGGCACCAACCGTTTTGGGGGTCCCCTGTTTTACGACCAGCCCACATGTCAAACCCCAAACCCATCTCGAGAAGGAAACCCTCAAAACGCGCAAAGCCGATTCCTATTCACATTTTGGAAGGTACCAGGTTCTGTGGAGCTTGTGATGCCAATGTAACAGCCATTGGTCAAACGGGGGTTTTACCTGGGTTGGGGAGGCCGATATGGCCGTGTCGCCCCTTGTCAGGCAGCCGGCCATGGCCTTTGACACTGCAAAGATGATATGCTTACGTCGCGGTACTATGGGTTGAGCTGTTCAAGCGTAGAAACCTCACTTTACTCGACTCACCGCATGCTTTGGCCTTTGCCTGTTGATCAACTTTCTTCCGATGGCTTCGGTGTCGATTTGAATACCCCTTTGAAACCGCAAACAAAAGGGTACTGAGCCTTATCACTTGTGAATCAAAACCCTTGGCTCAGTCCTTCAGCGGGAGTTGTCGTTTTTTAGAGGACATGGAGCTCTGCTTCGTGCGGCCAGTCAAGCATCCATTTCAATATCAGTGTGCTCATGAAAACCCCTGTTTCAATCAAACAACACCTGGGTTGAGGGATCAAGGGGTTTCTTCCGGGATGTTGCTTACTTTGTTGCTTTCCGTGCGGGGGGGTAGTCTTTGGGAAGCGGCCTGTTGTTGTATCACAGCAGTGGTCGTTTCCCACGGCCCCGAACAAACCGGCAGAATAAGAAGAAAAAAAACAAGAAAAAAAGAGAAATCTAAAAAAAAAAAACACACACACCGCCCGGCTGGGTCGAAGCTGCTCACTTCCCGCAGCCGCCAAAAACGCACGAGGAAAACCCCGCATTGGGTGTGTTGCGTTTCAGGTTCGACCCCCCAAAATGGGTGTGTTCCTTCTAGGTTCCCTTTAAAGCCCACAAGAACAAAGCAAGAGAACCGCACCGATATGGGTGCGGCTCAAAATGAAAAAACCCGGGGTTACGCAGGTTTTAGCCTCTTCCATTTACCCAGGTGCCATTTTGGTGTCCATGGTTTTGAGTCTCAAAAACTCCAACCTCGACTTCCGGCCAGGGTTCCGTTTTTTGACTACCCCAAGGCAGACTTAAACCCAGGGGTGATTGATTCCCCCAAAAGGGAAACCCCTGGGTTTAAGTCTACCCCAAGATAGTCACAAAAAACGAAGGAACCCTCGACTTCCGGGCGCAGCGGCTGCTCGAAGATGTTCTGCCTCTGCTCCTCCTCATGGGCCTGCCGGGACCTCTCCACGATCACCGCCAGCACCAAATTCGCGAAACCCAGCTGCACCGTCAGCAGCGAGCCTCCGACGTAGCCCCAGCCGGTTGACAGTGGCCCGCTTCCCAGGCACCCCAGGTTGGCGGTGTTTCCACCCAAGGAATTTGCAGCTTATGACCATGATGAAACTGGGGGAACTGGGATTGGCTAACAAAGTATGTTATGATCACATGGTGATATCGTGAAACTGGGAAACTGGGATTAGCTAACCCAAGCAAGTAAGTGATCAACGGTGATAGCGAAACTGGGGTTAGTTCCTTTTCTAAGCTGGTTCCCATGCTAGGTGAGTCAAACCTCCAAGAAACGGTCGGGAAATTAAAGACGACGTCTCGCAAACCTTCGAGATCAACTGGCCCAGACCGAAACTCGGCATGCATCCAAAATGAACTGAACAGTGCCAACAAGGTGCAGAATTGCCTTCATAAACCGATAAACCGGGGCAAGCAAACCCAAACATGTCGAGTGGTTGCCCGGGGTCTTCCTCTAATCTCGAGCCAAGAGAGGTGCGTGGGCTGGGGAAATAGACAGAAGCACGTCTGGGCTCCTCCAAAGATGATGAGAGACAGCGGGTTCTTCTGGATCATGGGAATCGCGCAGTCGCCCCAGCTGTCCCCAGCCATCAAAGTCTGGAAGAACATCAGCATCACCATGAACACAGAATCAAAGGCCTCACCCAGCGGCAGGTCTGGGTGTGCATTTTGGTGAGTTGGTACCCTGTTTTAGGTGGGTTTAAACGGAAACCAAGGGTGAAACCCGCCATTTGCGGGGTCCGATTCCCTATTTGGCGACATAAGTGGAGAGATGTCTCCCTGTGGACATCATTGGGTTGAAAAGCCCAAAAGTCCCTTCAACGGCCCCCGCCCGGGAAAATCCTCGGAGCCTCTAGGCACTTCTGGTTGTCCACGTGCACCTCCTGTGCTGTTCCATGCCTCACGGACAAAAATTGGGTGGGCCTTTGGCTGCATTTTGGTGCTATCCCCTTGACCATTCCATTTCCCGGAGAAAATAGGTGACCTAAGGAACCAGCCTTTAACCAAAAGGAAGATATCCCGGTGAATCCAGTTCACAGTGGAGTAGGTAACCAAAGGAACCATGGTGAAATTGCTGGTTACCTGCCTTCAGTGGCAAAAACCTGAGATCTACATGAACTGTGGCAAGGAAGAAGTGACATGGCTATGAATTGCAATTGGCCCCCCTCCCCTTTGCTGGACATAGCGTACGGTCAGCTATGTCTGCAAACCACGTTTGAGGGTTCCTATCTAGAACCCACAGTCATCTAGAACCCATAGGCATGTTCAAAAAAATATTCACTTCATTTTCCGGGCATGGACACCAAATTGATTGAAATTGATGACTGGCTGCGTCTCAACATTTGCAACGTTGTACATTGGACACCAGTTGTGTTGCTTCAAATCTACTGAAAATGTGCGTCCTCCAAGTCAAAGTTCACTGACCCTCTTGGCACCTTCTTGTTTGTACAGAAGACAGAAAGACGGAAACAGACAGACAGACAGACAGACAGAAAGAAATAAAGAAAGAATTCAAGAAACAAAGAGAGAGAGAGAGAGAGAGAGAGAGAAAGGAAAAAGAGAGAGCGAGAGAGAGCTTTGCAATTGTCGAGCACAAATCTAGTGTCAAATCTCGCTTAGGTGCAAGAGCTCTACGGCAAGCACTGCCCAAATTGCCAGGAGGAGCATGACCATGATGAGCCTGAGTCGAGTCGGCTCCAACCGCTCGTTGAACCGGGTGGTTTGGTGGAAACATGTGGACTGCAATGAGCCGCTGGAACCGAGAGGCCCCCAAAACACCGTGGTCAGCGCGCTGATGATCCCGATCATCATCGCATGCAGTTCCGGAGACATGTGCACAATCCTGACGCCACTCCACACCTCACCCCCCTCCCTACCCCGCCCCTTTTCGGACAGCCCTCGTTTTGGACTCCACTCCGCTCAAAAGTCATCGCGCCTGGCAGCACGCGCGAGCCTGGCTATTCTGAAGAGCCTCAAAAGCTGAACTTCCTGAAGCCCAGCCTTAGATGAGATCGGCTTGCCGGCGACAAAAACCAGGAAAGAGCGGCCCAAAGAGACTCGTCCGGTTCATTCCCAAAGTTTCAAACTGCAGCTGCCTGCCGCAGCTCTCGCCAAGCAACACATATGAAACACGCCAAGGCTTGCAACTGCCAGCGTCCTTTTCGCCCTGAACAATTTTTGGTTTCGGCCTTTCGATGTGAAACAAACGCGTCCCCTGGTTTCCGTATACCACGGGAAGCTGCAACATCCGTATGACCTCCGCAGGCTTCGCCTCATTCAGGACGCAGGTCGCGCGAGGGCTGCGACCTTGGGCTTGACACCTCTCGCGACGGCATGCTTGAGCCGCGCGATGGCACGCGGAGGTCGGACAAGGCGTGCGTCTCACTCGGGTGAGTTTCCCGCAACTCGGGGGTCAGAACCTCATCTTCTGTATACATTCCATGCCGGAGAGGAAAGAAGGGTATGTAGTAGAGGAGGCATCGCCAGTGTCCATACCAAGCTTGCAGAAACCAGTGGTAGAAAGGTTGCAAGAGGCAAACCTGGAACTCAACCTATATATCTGGCCTGTGCCTCCAAAGGACATAGTTCTCCAGTAAAACCAGGAGCCACTGAGAGGCGGCCTGCACACAAAGCACTGCCACGGTCAAGTGAGCATTAAAGTCTGCAGAGCAAAGCCAGGACACAATGGTCATCGGCATGACCAAATGGACATAAATCTCCAGAAGATGCTTCACGCTGCTGAGTCGGAAGAGGAGGTTGCCCAAGAGAGTGTCGTGGCAATAGAAGAACAGCAATTATCAGGAAGAAGCGCCTGGGAGCATTCACAAACCACCGCTCCGCTCGTTGCTTCCAGAGATTGGCCGCACCATAGCCCTGGTCCCGAAAGCCAGAACAAGGTAAGAGGCTCGCAGGCGCGAAGCTGACCACGTGGCACCGCAGCTCCTGCCGCATCTGGCGATTCTGCAGGTTGATGATGCCATTCCAGTTGTCCTCTCCAAATGGCTTCGAAGGGATGCTGCTTGAGGATCTCTTTGAAAGAAATCCTCACGCCGCATGCCGATGATCCCATGGAACCAGTGGAGTACAGTCCGACTGGAAAAGCCGTGTCTGCGACAGCTCTTTGAACTCCAAGTCGAGCTTCTCGTTCCGGCCGGGTGCGCCGCATAGAGATGCCGTAGGACACGGCATCCGGTTTTATGGGTGGTCCCACAGGTTGTTTTTTCGAAGACAAAATTCCGCAGGCAAAATGGTGTCATCATTGATGTGCATCACATACTTGACTTCCGGCGGCAAGGCTTCCAGGCCGATCCACAGGGCGTTGGTTTCAAGCCAAGCGGAACCCAGCGGTACTTCACCAGTGGGTGAATCTCCCTCAACACCTTTTCGTTGTCATCCAAGGGGCTTGGGGAATTTGCCGTGGTCAATCACCACAACGTGCTTGGGGAGCAAATGCTCCAGGATGGAGTCGACGGTGCTTGCAAACTCTGCGGCGCTCCGATGGCAAGGGATGATGCACAAAATTTGCATCAAATAGGCAGTTTCTTGAGAATCCTCCTCCACCTTGGAGGGCCATGGAGCCACAAGAAGTACAACGATATGGTAGGCAACTCGAATGGCGTTGAACTGGAAATGTTGCCAGAGATTGAAGATGGTGTGCACATGCACGTAGCTAGAAGAGAGGCGCCAGAGCAGCCAGACTAGAGGAACCAGAACTGTATACCAGCATGCCGCCTGCATGCAAACGTTGTAGCGAATGGGCCGGCTTGTCCAGTAAAACCAACATGGATTTTGGGGTCCTGTCTTCTCAGTGTACAGAGCTTCCTTGACGAATGCAGCGAAACTTTGTTTGCTTCTTTCCGGCTCTTTGACCGGCGCAGCACGCCGGTTCTTTTCAGAAAGGACCTATGGGACATCAGCTTGAAAGAAAAGCAGAGGGACGGGCCGGCTTTTGAGCCTATCCTGAAACCAAATGTGCGGAACGGCTTGCGGTTCATGCAGGGCGGTTATCACCAAATATGTTGAAATCATCGTTTAAACAACCTGCTCTTGGTTTCCCTTAAAAGGGGCCAGCATCCGGTCGTATGTCGCATAGTTTGCAGCCAACGGCGGCAACCTTGCAAGGGCAAGTTGATCTACTTGTGCCCAGTTCAATCAAGGGTATAATTGTATTATGCGGGTCGGAGCTCCTTGTTGGCCAATCCGCGCATAGTCTTTGATTCAAGTCTCGCCCATGTGACTGGCTGACATTCTTGAGTCCAAGAACTCGAGTTCAGCACAAGAGGCGCAAGTACCCCACCAATTAACCTGGAACCTGACGTTCGGGGCCCAGTCCCTTCAAACGGAAATGGTGCAAGCCAGGACCCCCCCAGAAATTCAGGTTCCATGTCGAGGTCCTGGGAACTGCCAGGCAGCGGTTGTGACCACAGCAGCGACACAAATATCCACCCAGGCCATGAAGACAATGCCCAGGTCAAAAAGCATCCATCCATCTCGGCACACCCGAGATCTGTACACAAACAAAGTCGCCTCGGCTCCAAACCGCGTCTCGTGGCAAGCATTCTCAGCATGCTCCGCTGGCTTCTTGTCAAGCGGAAACCTGCAACACTCGCAGAATTCGCTCACTGATTCGTGGAAGTCAAGCGGCAAGAGTCTCCAGAGTGTAGAAAGCCACAAAGAAATAGTTGGCAATGGCCGGCCAAGCCGGAATGCATCCGCCTGACATTTGGGATCTTATTCGTTCCAAGTTCAAGTTGCCACCACTTCAAGATGGGCCTACCCTGAAAGGTAGGAAGCAATCTTCTAGGCCCCAAGGCCCCAAGGCCCCAAGGCCCCAAGCCGTGCCGGCGTGGCTGGTGATCAATTCACCATCACAGGCAGCGCCATAGTTGGCTTCTAGGATGATGATGATGAAGTTGGCTAAGATCACCAGGCTCAGCAGCAACTCCTTAAACGCCGGTTTAGAGGGCCATGGTCCATGTTGGTTGAAGCCCAAAGGAAACCCCCACCCAGTTTTGGGGTCCATTTAGGCCAAACGGCGAAACAGATACATGGTCAATTTAGACTGGTTAGGAAACTTACAGGCAAACCCAGCCAGTTTTGGGACCCATAAAAAGGCTATGATGTTCATAGGACTCCCCGCCTTAAGCTATATGCCCACCATTTCGGGTCAATCACACCCAATTGGGCGATTCAAGCCCGTGCCATACCTTTACAATGGAAGGAGCCCAAACAAGCAAGAAAACAAAACAGTCTCCCAACACCCTCAGCTCAATATGGGACTCGTCTTTTTTAAGGTTGGACCCCCCAAAATGGTGGATTTCCCGTGGGTTTCCCTTTAACACCACCAAAAAAGGGTACCATCGAAGAAAGACAAACACATATGTTTAAACCACCGTTGCTTAAACAACCTCCGCTTGGTTTCCATGTGAGGACCCTGTTGGGTGCTTGGGTGCAACCAGCATTTCTTAAGCAGATAGTTACCAGACCGTAAGCCGTTTGGTTCTTTCGGCCAGATCCCTCCACAAAAAAAAAGAAGAAGACAAAAGCAAGACCATACAAGATAGCTTGCAGAGATTCCCAAGAGGCAGATACCACCAGCCGATAGAGTTGCCTGAGTCGCAAATGGGATTTGAGCTCAAACGCTCGCTGGGCTCGAAACACGCCCACATAGACAAAATTAGGGGACCTCCAAAAAAGGTTGGCTTCGCTCCCCCCTACCCGCCCCCCCCCCCAAAAAAAAAAAAAGGACACACAGAATGTTCCGAGTCTGAATCAGAGTCATCTTCGACCATTGCGGCTCAGGCGCCCGCGCCAACGGCCAAAGCTTTCTAGCTCCTGAAGGTGTTTTGCTTTTTCGCCATGGCCCTTCACGGGTTTGCTTCGGCAATGACGCAACGGCTTTTCTTTTGGTCCCTGTTACCACAGAAACGGCCTTCAAAGACACACGCGCGTGCGCACACACACTTGAACTCCAGATGGAGAGTGCTAATCTTTCGAGTACAACTGATGAGTTTCGAGTACATCTGATGAGTCTCGAGTACAACTGATGAGTCTCGAGTAGGTGAAGGTTCGGCTTGCAGTCACATGGTTTCCGTCTAGCTGCGAAAACGTTGCAAGGTTCAACATGAAGCACACACAGCGAGAGAAACAACGGGCCAAATGGACATTGCACAACCGATGCAGGTACACAATCCAGCGTCCCGGATTGCATCACACTTCTCATCAGGCGTCTTCGTTGGCCTGAGTCCTGATGAGAAGCCTCAAGCCCCCTGCTGAAAAACCGAAAGGGTGGTGACAGGGCATTCTGTCACTCCGCACACACACGCCCCTCAATGAGGGGCGAGGATTCTCCTTTTCTGCAGGAAGATCACATGCTCAAACCCGTGTCCCTATCGTTGACCAAAAAATCCACCGCGCGAGAAACAGCCCTAAACCGCTCAGAAGACGGGAACGAGAGATCACCACGTTGAGCATTACGAGTGTCGCCATAGAGGACTGAAGCGAGTTGTGAAGCAGCCTGGCGATCACCATGAGAAAACGGGGTGGCGTAGGTGAACGTCTCCTCAACTGGAATGGCATCGGAATTCCGAACTTGACCAAGAGATTGATCATGCGAATGATGAGTTGTGAAGGACTCCATTCGAGACAGAATGCGCTGGTATCCCTGATGCTGCCAGTCGCGGATGTTCCATGCCTGACCGTGCTCACCAGTGAACCCATTGGGATCAGTCACCCGTTGCCATTCCCGAAAAGAATTGTCTGGTAGATCAGGTACAGTTTCTCCGCGGTGCCATCGCTGAGGCTGTCCTGGAGTGTAGATCCGTACCCACTCCTGATCCTGCCAGACCGAGTATTCGAGCCATGGGTGCTGCTTCGAATCATCGATGTCCATGTCGAAGTAAGAGGCAAGGCGTGTCGCGGGCTCCGATCCAGCTGATAGAGGAACAGGCACCATGCACAACCATGTACAAGCAACAACCAAGCAAGGTAATGAAAGTGTGAAAACCACCCTTATTTTGTACACTACCCACTCGCGTGCGTCTAGTCCTCAGTTAGCTCGAAGATGGGACTCGCCTTGTCTTTGCCGCTGTCGGAAGGATTAACAGGCCGGTATGGCTCGGAGACCCCAACCGTCTCCGATGGTGTGATTCCACGTGATGCACGTACTGGTTGATGAGGTTGGGAAGCGTGACGTGCGCGAGCTGTCAGTTGTTGAGAAATCCCCTCTTGGAGACGAGTCAGTTCTTCGGTAGAAAAATCCGCCGCATCCGAGGACCTGAGGATCGCTTCTAACAGCTGCGGTGACATACTCAATGCCGCGGATTGCGTGGCCACGCTGTGATGATCAGGAAAACACATAGAATCAAAGTCATGACCAGCTTGAGGGGCAGCGACTCTCCGATAGCCCTCTGTGGCCCAGTCTCTTTTGTACCACATGGTGACTTTGAGCTGCTCACCGACTGGGTCCGGGTTGGGAGCATAGAACTCCCTCCACTCTCTATACGTGTGCGGTGGAGGTGGAGCATCATGCTCTTCATGTGGAGTCCATGATCCCGGATGAAAGATCTTGACCCACTGGGCATCTGGTTGTTGAGGATCCGGACACCATTCCAGCCACGGCATGACAACGCAAACCCGGAAAGACAAATTGATAGGTGTACGGCTGCAGACAACAATTAATGAAAGAGAAACAACTGCCGCAATGCAAGAAATCACTTTTGCAGCAATGCACGGCTCCGGTATCGAAGACAATCTCCCGAATCGAATTTAACTGAACAGACTCCCCAGGAAGGCGAGGACGAGCATCAGCCATCATCTGAGTTGGAGGATGCCGATGAAGAGGTCAATCCAGCATACATGAGGTCCGGTGCGCCCGAAGCGAAAACTGGCCGCGCAATGCTAGGGTGCGGGCGACCCAGACGTTGGTATCCCCTGGTGACCCAGTCTCTATAATGCCAAGTATAGAAGGATGCATAAGATAGCGGTTGCGAAACAGCACCTGTATTGGTGCCGCCTGTGCTTTCCCTCGGCCAATACACTTCGAAGTGGTAGACCTTGCGCCATTCCCGATAGGTGGTTGAGTCATCCGGGGCTGGTCCCAAGGTGTTCGCGGCGACTGGATGCCACGGACCCGGTACATAGATCCGAATCCATTCTACACTCGTGTTCGCTGGGCCATTGACGATGTCGTAGTCAAAGTAGGGAGGCAGGACCCATCGTGCTGTGCCATACACTGTACAATTGAACATTTCAACCAGGCAAGCCGCTCGAAGTCATAAAGGAGAGCGGCGAACACATGGAGACGGAACGCACAACACCAAGCAAGACAACCCAACATGGAATCGCATACAAAGCAAGCACAACCGCGTCATTTATCCGACATGCTACTCAAGTGTCACTCCGAATCGTTCCAAGGATCATAGAATGGTGGTGGCGACGGCTCTCGCCACGCCCCATCCGGCACCGATGAGCCCACCGAGGAATTGGCGTCTGCATTCACGAGCATCGCGAGTCCAATGGCTGGTAAAGGAGCTCCAAGTCGTTGATACCCTCGTGTTTGCCAGTCTCGGTACTCCCACACGTGGTAGGACACATAGGAACAGGGCGTGACTATGGGATCCGTTGTTGTGCCTCCGGTGCTGTCTTCGGACCAGTACACTTGGAAGCGATATGACCTGCGCCACTCCCGATACGTGGAAGCGTAGAGTGGGTCCAGCACTGGAGCATCATCGGGAACGGGTCGCCACGTGCCCGGTGAGTAAATTCGAATCCATTCCACTCCTCTGTCGATCTGGTACTCGAAATATTGAGGGTTCATAGCGGCAAGACAGGCTCTCGCGCGGCCGCTAAAAGCAATCGAAAATCTGCGGCGAAGACACACATGCAATGACAACCGCGCACAGCTGAAGGAAGCAAGGCAACTTTTCAAACTCAAGGTGAGACACAGCAGCGAGGTTTGTAATATACGACTCCTAAGCTTCACCGCCGTTGATGCCGCGCACACCTGCAATGGTAATGTCCTGGTCGTCTACGATCACAAGGGGAAAGACATTTCCGCCCATGGCGCAGGATGGCATGACAGTAATGCTTGCAATTTGCCGATGGGGACAGCGATGGACGGCCAGCACGTTTGGAGGGGAACACTGTAAAGGGCCGCCGAGATCTCCGCGGTGCCGAAGCGGATGCTGTCCGAGATCGTTTGGATGAGCGCCCTGGACTGCGTAGCTCTTCATCACGGGAATGGTCAGTGCTGTAGATCGAGCGGCGTGTGCGCTGCGATTTCGAAGTAGCAGGGCAGGATTGTCCGCGAGGAGCTGAGATCGAGGGGCTCCGTACTGAGGGCATAAACTGTGGGTGTAGAATCACCGGTGGTGGTGGCGGTGGAGGAGGCGGAGGTGGAAGAAGCAGTGGGAAACTTGGTGGGGGCGGAGGTGACGTAGTCTGCCGAATGGGTCTGTCAAGTAGAGCTCCCGGTCCGTGAAATTGTAACCACGTCGGCTGCGCTCCATGGGTCCAGGTAATGTACGTCTGTACGACTTGTTCCGACATGATTTGAGCAACTCAGTCATGAATTCACTTCACGTCAGCGGCAACACCCAAAAACGGCAAGCAATATTTCCCTAGTAAAATGGCAGTCAAGAGCAAGCAAGCAAATTTCATGTGATCAATAAGGACTACAATCCCAACCGTCACCACAACCTGCAGCGCTAGTCGAATACGCCGCCACGGCCTACCATTTAGTCCTCCGGTGGTCGCTGTTGCATTTGATGACCGGGTTCCTAGCCGCGAGCCTCAAGTTGCTGATAGACCTTCCATGCCTGCTTGACTTCCTCAATGGGCTTCTGAAGGAACCGAGCAATGGTCTTGTAGGTGGGCCTGGAATCCTTGTCTTTCTTCCGTCGCACCATCTCATCCAGCTCACCCTGTGTCCATGCCGTGAAAGGTTCACGGTGTGCATTGCGAAGTGCAATGGTGAATTCTTGTAGAAGTCCCGAGGTCCATGAACCACCGTAGGAGACGGTCGGAACGACGAGGCACCTGGATGTGGACGCACTGAGCCATCAGAATCCGAGTCAGGTGTCGTAGGCGTCATCTGTCCTGGCTCTCGGCCGCCGTGTGGGGCTAAGGGAGCAAGCGGCCGAGGTGGTGGCAGGTGATCCAACATCGATTCAGGCCGACGACCAGAATTGTTGTCAGCAGCATCCCGATGTGCCGCACGAGGCGGGGATAAGGCCGGTATATACCAGGTGGATGACGTGTCCAAAGGTCGGGTTCGAATTCGAGTGGGAGAGCGGGATCGGTCAGACGAAATGCGCTCTGTGATGATGCGAGGGCGCAGCCCATGCCTGGAGTTCCGTGGTGCCCTGGGAGTCACTATAGTGTCTGACGGATGGCTACGCTCGGTCATCAGGGCAAAGTTCAGGGTGTCCAGAGCTGTCGCAACTTGGGATGCAAGGACATTGAGTACCGCCACCAGGTTATTCACAAACTCGGCCGACAACTGCATGGCAACCGAACAAACAGCAAGGTCAACTCAAGCAAGTAAGGCTGCGGGACTGCGAAGACATGATGCTTGCAAACATGCATGCGCCGAAATACTGAGGTACTTTTGCCGCTGGTGTTCCGTCAACGTTCATACGACAGACCTGATGGTCGACAAGCCGGCATGGCCTTGACTGCCGGCGGGTACTTCGGAGTGTAAGCATGGCGGCGGGACGTGGGAACCGCGTCGTCAGGACGGCCAGGAAGCCGCCGGTGATGACTGCGAGATCGGCGCCGATGAGGCTCCCGATGTCTGGACCTTCTCCTCCGTCTGTGCTCCCAGGAAGTACTGA